ATACATAGTTCTATATTTACATATATGTATATGAATAATGTATGGAGGACTTCATGTAAAGAATTGGCGTCCCCAAGCACACAGCAGCTAGTAGTTTCAATGAAGTGATCGAAGGGAGAATTCGTATGTATGCATTTATTATGCATTCAAGCTAGTATACAATTTTAGAAGGGATAAAATGTTAAAGTTGAATGCAAATTTATGCAATAGTCGGATATACAGTTATGGCTATTTTTACCAGTCTACAAATCAGAAGTATACTGGTATTCACCTTATGGGGCCTGTCTTTCTTTGTGTGTCTCGCTTGTTCTTACTCAATCGAAGTGGGAAAATTATCTCTCATGTGGCAAGTGTGTATTTCAGTAGAAAATATATGGGCTTCTTCTCTGACATTAAGCGTTTCCTCAAAATTATTTTAGCCAAAAACCAATTCGAACGATCCAAATTCACTTCCAGTTGGTTCAAAAATCTCAACCCAAATGCAATATAGTAAAATGAGTTCTTTAGAAATATTACTCAAGGCCAACTCAGTAGACCCAAACTAAATTTGTTAGAATTCGCCTAGGTCACATAGCTATTACTCATCTCCACTACATATGTAGACAAGCAACATATTAACCAATGTCCCTTCCGTCGCCATGTAACATATGTACATGTCCTTCTACCTCGGTTTTAACAAAATTTACATTTGCAAATACTGATCCAGCCACACTTCCAAAAAGCTCAAACGTATGATAGAATTTAAATCTTACTCTTTAAGTTATGCATCATATACATAACTACATAACAAATTGTTTAAGTACATTTCTTTTATTCATATAAATCATCCTGTAATAGCTTAAGATCCTGGTAGTCATAGCTATTCAAACCCTGTTTGCTGTAAGTTTTGACTTTAAGCGAGCATTATATCAGAATCGGGAACACTTATGCTGATAAGGACTTTACTACGGATAAAAAGACATGGTTTGGCTGGAATTGGATTTTCATTGAATGCGTCAAACAGCTTTTAGCTGCATCCATGCACATCAACGGTAAACATGGCTGATCCGCCATTGCGTCGCTGACTTCGAAGCGGCGAAGGTGTGGTGCTTTGCTTTCTGACGTCAACGCTGACGCCCACGGCCGTCCCTGTCGATGGATAGAAGCCTTTGATTTTATTTCACTTCATTTGATTCGGAAGTCGCTGAACAAACCCGCGCCCTGTCGCGGCCACTGCGGTTAGTCTCAGTCGTGGTTTCTGTTTTTATGCTGCCGTTGTTGCTGTTGCTTTTGTTGTGTCTATTGATGTTAGTGACTTGCTTTACCTTTTCACCCACGGAAAACCCAACGACCCGTAATAGCGAACGGCTCGGCGGTTTAAGATAATTTTGCTTTTTGTTCTGCACTTGTAAACGTATTTACGTTGTTGGAGCTGCTGTTTTTGTGTCTTGTGTTTGTTGTTGCTGCCTTTGTTGCTTTAGCCACGGTTGCGTATAAATTTAAGTGTGTGCCATTTTGTTGCGCATGGAAAATTCATAGGATTTGAGTAATTTACTTCATTGTATGTGCCGTTAATGGCCTTGTTGTTGCTGTTCTCTTGTATTGTGCTGTTGTTGCTTTTTTCTTTTCGATAATCGCAAAGAGCAGACTAGACTGAGTCGGCGCAGGCATTGGAGGAGCTGTAATTGACTTTTATTTGCAGTTTGTGGAAATTGTGACAGTTACGTAGGTTGCCTCTCATTGGGAAGAAACCGTGTCCGTATTATGTACTTGTACTGCCAAACTAGCTATACTCGTACCTGACTTTGACGGATTCAGCGTTCAATTTTCAAATCACTGTTATTTACGCGATACTGTTAAAGTTTCATAATGACCGGAACAATAACTTAAAAGCTTAAAAAGGACAGACATTAACATTAATTTTAATATAAACTAGTATACTGTAGAAAAACAAATGTTCAATTCACTGAAAGATGGCTTTAATATAATTGTTCTACTGATACATTTATAGCTGCTTGAAAAGAAATCTGCTTAAATCTGCCGCCTACCTGTGATAGTAAGTAACTGGGCCGATCTTCCATAATCTTCCCATAATTCGGACTCCGTTAGTTGTTAATCACTAGGTGCCCCGACCTTGACCCACGTTTGTTGAATCCAAATACCACAATAAAACACAATAAAACTCGATCTGGATTATCAGCAGCATGAACACATATACTTGTAAAAGCCCTTCTATACGAGAACTCAAACTTCAAATACACACGAGTGTTATAACCGAATCCAACTGGAATGCACTCGTAAACTATAAAAACAGGCACTCGAGACTTTAAAATCAATAAATTGAAAATAAATAAATCTAAAGCTAAAAAAAAAAAAAATTAAATGGCTCCGTAAATTCTATTACTAAATTAAGTTGCTCTAAAATCTGTTTCATATCAACGATTTGGTATCTGGGAAGTCCCGGGCAGCCAGGTGTTATAACTTGTGCAGATCACGGAAAATGTCGACAGACGGTTTGAACCAAGTCGACCTTCTTCAAATATAGCTTTATTTTTTGGCTCAACTTTGTAATTAAGGAACGTTTGTAAATCAACTACCTCCCGAGTGTTTTCACATAATGTATTTTATTATTATTGCTAATTGGTTTCTGTCCGCCATTTATCAATTACCATTTCTTCAGTTTCAGTGAAACAAAGCTCGTTTATTTCATTCAATAATGTTTCTCCTTTATTATTATTCATAATACGCCTAGTTCTATTATTTCGATTATTTCTCTCATCATTATAAATAAATAAATTTCATTGTTCTTTGCGTGTTGAATTCCATATTTAACATTTTAATATTTCCCCGATTTCTTTTGTTATTTTGTTTTCAATTGATTATAAAACTAAACGCATGAAATTTTTGATCAAAGTATCGAATCCGATTTCTTTGATGTATAAAAATGTGCAAATTTTAATTTGTTATAACAGATTTGAATGTTATTGGATAACAACGAAATAAATTAACAAGCATGGTCAACAACAATTTTGTGTATATGGAAATTATGTATCTTTTGGATTAATGTATTTATTTAAAGAGGCCGTGATTTTCACTTTAGTTCTTTCCCCTTTCCTTTGTTCGATTTCTGGTAGCAATTTTACTTAAAAAATTGTATTAAAATTAGCTTAACTATCAAAATTATAGAGTATTTCTTATGTTATGTTCAACTTATGTACAGCATTTTTTTCCTATTTCTTGTTTCTTTTACTTGTAGGTTTTTATTCTCTTAACTATGAACCATTTGATAATTCATTTATTTATTTATCTATTTATAAACTTGTTTATTCATTACTTTGCTTCTATTTCCATTCAAATTCCACATTAGTGTGGAGTTCGGGCTGATCTACATTAATATAAAAATCTAACAACTATGTATGTACTTGTATGTATGTATAGTATAAGCCTAATTCCAACAATTTCTGCCCGGCTGTGCAGTTTATACATTTTAATGTTAACATTTAATATCATTATTAATATATATCTGTATGACCTAGTGTTTGTGTAGTACGCGTATATATAGTACGGGTATATGTTTATGAGAATGCATCCTTGTCTCAAGCTCAATGGTTATATAAATAACAGATGAAGCCAAGCACTTCAACGGGTGGCTACGAGTACTACAAACAAATGGTTCATGAAATTCTATGAATAAATTGAAAATTGAAGCAACCCCAATGGAAATTAATTCAAAATTGCTATGCGCATTGCTAATACAGAGGGTGTCCTATTTTATAGAAATTATATTGTCAAGCACAATCGTGTGTTTGTGGTATTGCCAACGCGTCTCTCATTCAGGTAGCTGTTTCGAACACGCCCTTGTATCTAATCGAAAATAAAACATATCGAGAATGATTCAATTTAGGTATTTCATTCCAAGTGCATTCAAAAGAATGATTTTAATGCATTCAGCTGTACCAAAACAAGTGGAATGCCATGCTTATGGAGCATCGATCTATTTGATGAAAATAATTAAAATGCACATACTCGTACGTTGGTGAATCGCTTGATGACTAATCTTTATGACGACTAAATAAGAAAGTGCTTTTTTGCCATCAATTTTAAACATTTCCAATTCTTTAATAATTTTTGTTTTATTACAAAATGATCACAGTCATAAAAATTTAATTCGTAATTTTGCTTAACATATTTAACATACTTTATATTTATGTCATTCACAAGGCTAAACAAGACAATGAGTCATATCCTTGAAGTTCATTTGAATAGTTCAAAGGTCGCCTCTGAAGCTAATTACTAATCGTTGAAGCTTGACTCCTACTTTCCTGCGATATTTCATGCATTTCTATTCCTATGTACATATATTCCAATTAAATGTATTTACTACTTTGCTGCCAAAGCCAAATACTGCCTTGATCAGCTTAGTAATAATTCTTGTGAAGGGCATAAGCTGCTCGACACGGCCGAAGCAAAAAGCACAAAATGTTTTCTATAACAAAATCTCTGCAGCTAAGAAAACGATCCAGCAAGAAATTGATCGCAAGTGTGGATAGATGGATGGGTTGGTGTATCCGTGCGGTTTTAAAACTGTAAACTGAAGCGTGAAGTGCGAGCCGCTTACCAAAGTTTCAAATCAAATGGTCTATGCATGATTTTTCGCTTTGGTTCTAACCAACACATTTATTAACCCTTAATGCATTACAAACTTATTGTTATTTAGGCAAAATTGTACACATATTGGTAGTTTCATGTTTTCAAGTTTACTTATATTCACATCTTAATCATTTCAGCAGTACAAAAAATGTTCGTAGCTTGCACGGTTTTGCAAATTTTACACATTCTTCGAATATACGAGTACACGCAAGTTTCAATTTGTGAGGGCGAGCTCAACTACGAAACTATATATACTATATATATATATATATATATATGTATTTATGCAAACGAGTACAGTTTCTATTCCATTTTTATGGTTCTTTCATGGATTTTATATACGAGTATGAAAATATGCGCCGGCCGCATTGCTATTTTGAATACCCTACTCTTAGACTAAATTCTTTTATTTTGTTGCCAGTTGCCGCCACACAGCTACGTTTAAAAATCATTTACGCTAAAAAGTAACTAAATTTAATCAATCTTAGGAATTATTCAGTTGGATCAATTATGTTATATTGTGGTTTTCGGTTGTTTGGGTTTAGTTATGTTGTTAAGCTTCAACGTCCATGTGGCGTTGCCTGTGTTCCTGCTCTCCTCTCTGTATGTATTTGGATGCATGGCCAGTTGGTGGTCAGTTGTTAGGCCGATCTCGTCAATGCCCTCTGGTTTCTTTAGGTTTGCTTTACTTTTTAGTATGTTGCCCTTGATTGACACTATGATGGAAGAACAAATAGATTATCCGTGGTTAGATCTGCAGTGGTCATTAGCTGGTGCTAGAAGTCACTACTGGTCGATGGATTCCCTAAATTGCTCTCCACAGTGTCATCTTTGTGTCAGAGAGGCGGCTTGTAGACTTCAATAGCTGGCGTTAGCATATCTACGCGCGTTGATATCGAAGTGTCACTGCAATGTAAAAATGAGTAAAGAGTCAGAGACTTGTTTGAATTTCATAACTATTTCTAAATATTCATAACTATTTATGTACTAAGTATACTTATTATATTAATATATTGAAAGGCTTAATTTTTGTACGAGTAAATGTTTGACCCTTTTGGGTACACAGATTAAAGTACTAAAATGAAAGACCACTTCAATACTCTCCGCAATAATCACTTATTAGTTTGAGTTGACATATTGGTAACGTGACAAAATTGACTGCCAACAAAATTCTAAAGTACTATAATAGAGTTCTTATGAAACACTAAAACAAGATTTCGTCGTTACTTAATGTACCCATAATGGCTCAGGAAAACACGATTTCCAGTTACGATTAATACAATTCTATGACTTAGCCCATTTGAGTCTATTCGACCTTTTATTGATCTACTACAAGTACATCAGGTGAAATGAACTAACTTTATAATATTTGAACAAATGGGTGAGATAACTCTTCATGTGGAACAATTGCGTGACACCAAGTTTCGTAGCGTAAGTCAGGCGGAACTGAACAATCCTTTTTCTACATGAATACCTCTACGGGTATGTATATTACATTGCACCTGTACGAATTATTGGTCTAGATGCTTTTACAGATATGTACAACTATGTACTAAGAATATAAAAGTAACTTGATTTATTAAAATTTTATTATTTATATATTGAAAGCTGCAGCCTGAGATTTCGCGACCTATTTCAAATGTTCTTCACTGACTGCCCTACAGTTTAATGGTTTTGACAATCGAATTTTTGTTTATCTTTGCATTAACTATTTGATTTTATACCCTGTACCCGTAGGGTAAAAAGGGTATATTAGGTTTGTGCAAAGTATGTAACATGCAGAAAGAAGCATCTCGGACCCCATAAAGTATATATATTCTGAATCAGCATGACGAGAGAAATCGATCTAGACATGTCCGTCCGTCTGTCCGTCTGTCTGTCTGGATGAACGCAAGGATCTCAGAAACTATAAAAGCTAGAATAACCAAAGTTAGTATTCAGATTCTCCAAGTTCGAGAAAGGACGAGTTTATTTTATTTTTTTTTAATTTTCCTCCCTTCCCCCGCTACAGAACTGCCCACAAACTGCAGCATCAAGTTCGCTCTTCTTCTTCCTCTTGCTTCAGCTAGAGGCGCATATATAGTGTCGGAAGTTTACCTGGGCACAGGGTATTTCACTGTCGGGCTTGGTCGACTGTAGCGTTCTGTATTGTTACTATTCGGGTAGTCAATAGGAAGTAAGAATTATTGCTGATATCTCAGTATATCAGTTCTTGTTATTTTTAAAAGTGTTTATTTATGTATTCCCATCTAACAACACAAGTAGGGGCCATCTATGAACCATCTTAGTTTCGAACGGAAACGCTTAATATTGGCATACATTTAAAATATAAGTTTAAAGTTTCTGCAAAGAAATTGGGCCATTCTGAGTTGTGTGCAGCGGCGATAGCGAAAACGGATGAATATAAATGAATGTATGCATATATATGAATGTACTGGTGGCAGCGAATAAACATCGGGCCAATAGCCGGCGTGGATGGATGAACAAGAAAGATGATAAAGCGTTTTTTCTCTAGGAAAGCAGAATCCACCAAGCATATTTAACTTTGACTGGGGTAACAAACGGAGGCTTGTCAAAACGAGAGCAGCTAAAGAAGTATAGCATACAAAACAGCGCAGGCCAACAAAATTTGAATGGTGCGCATAAAAAATATCGGCAGTGCAAAATATGCAGGCCAGTGACGGACACTAAATTGTAATCATTGTTAACACTCCTCCGGTTGTAAGCAAAGTCGGTCGATGCCATCTGCCCAGCTTTGTGTCCAACGACGACACTACGCTGCTGCTTATGAGCTTCATTTCGTTTATTCAGTTCAATTGTCACATCTTGTATTAAATGTGTTGTCTTTTCACAGAGCTAGTTGGTATTGTTTTGTATTGGTTTTGTTATGCTCTTCCTATGCTCTTGCCATGGCCCAATCCTGCTCTAATAATTTCGACGCCGATTGCCGGCACCCGCAATGGCACTCTATTGTTCGTAGTAAATATGTATGAGAGCGTGTACTTATATGTAGTGTTGTACATATTTGAGCTTTGTAGAGCTTTTTCAGATTCGGCATTGTATTGTAAATGAAATTGAATTAAATGAAATGTGAAATTTATTGTATTTTGGCATTTTCAAATGCCAAACAGTAGAATAAATACGAAACAAAAATCGCATTTCTTTCTCCTACTTATGCGAGCAGCTTTATACAAGTACGAGTATGTGTATTGTTCGCTTTATTGGCATTCTTCCTTATTTTATTTATTTATTTATGCTTATTTCATTTCCCTTCAGTGCCTATTGTTTTTCAAGTGAGCTTCTGCCTCTTGTTTTATCAGCAGTTTTTAGCACAGACTTAGTATCATCAAACTAGCTCGGTATAATAAGTACTATACATGATGTGCTACAGTGTTAAGAGGAAAACTGCCCATAAAGTAATACCGTGTTGTTAACTAGTACAAGTATACTATATGGTACAAATTAAAACGCCGTGTTGTGCCTTAGTTAGCCGACTAGCCGTGTTCAGTTCAGGAAGACTGAAAACGCGATCAAATGTATATATTCAGATATAAAGGAAAAAGATAACAATCTATGAGGAGCGCGAAAATATGGCCTACCATTACAAAAACATCCCGCTCACTCATATATTTTTTTTTTTTTTTAGCTTTTTAGTTGGTCAAAGGTCTGACAAATGGCCACCGGTAAGGGAGAGGTGCTAAGAGCTTGACTGAAGTGAAAAGTAAAACACACAAACAAAATTGAAGAACTTATTGAAAATTGTTCCGAAGTTGTTGAAGCTGTGCGCAAATTGGTTCAAAAATAAAAGTTGAAAAGCCGCAACAGTTGAAGGGTAGACAGCTTAAAAGCATTTTAATTGTTTGCTTCACACACAATTTATGTAGAGCACTGAAAAAAAAAAACATATTCACACACATGTGACCTAGGAGAATCTGGAGGAGAAAAGTGTGATTACAGGGTACTGCAGATTATTTTTGATTCCACTATTTTGATAAACCAAGTTTTTCCTACATATAAGTATCCTTAAGCTAAAGTAGCGATATTTAAGGATATTAGTTAGTGTAATAGTGATCGCGTAAAAGTGGCATTGGTCGTGTGCTTGTGTCCTTTCAAGCCAGAAGCGAATCGCAACACTTGCCTGTTCGACACAATGCCCACCTCCCCAACTACTCTCAATCCCTCTTGTTGAACGCGTTTGTTTTTCCTAAGCCCTCCATCCTCTCAGCCAAACTGTTGCGGCATTCGTTAGCACTTGTTTTGAACTTTGAGGATTTTTGGCAAAATGAAAATTTAATGTGTCAGTTCCGGCTGCTCGACTGTAAGGCTGTTTACCGACTCCCCGTGGCTCATGTTCAGTGTATAGGGTGCACGTTGCCAGTCCCATCATTTTCCCGGTCTGCGCTTACCGCGCTTGTATTTACCATGGACGGCAGTCCTAGTAGTGGCGAAAGCACTAACACATGGTGGCAGCACACTACAGTAATTGTTGCCGCCTTAAGCGCATTTAATTAATTATTTTGAATTTAAACACTAACAAGCTGCCAATTCTTGTAACTAGTATTAATACCATTGTGAATTATCCATTTTCCATACTGAATTAATCAATTAATAAATTGTTATCTGTTATCGAATGGCAATTAGATATAAGAAGAAGCTTAAGAATGTATGTGTCCTAATTTGAGCGTGCAAGGCGTGCAGATCAAATACATGAACAATCAAAACAGGATCCAAATACAGCGAAGCAGCTTTTAATGAAGATTTGGACCGAAACTGTAATATTGTAGCTTATCTTGAGAAATTAATCATATGCATCTTTTAATTTTAGATTCTACTTAAAGTTATGAGTATTTTGTGAATCAAAACTACGATGCAACATTTCCACGTTTTTTTATTTTACTAGAGCATTGCGAGAAAGTTTTTATCGGACTCTGCTCGATTCACAGTAATAGAATAAAATATAATTCATTCTACCGATACCCAATAAATATCTGTAATATAGTAAGTAGCAGTCTCCGTAGGGTCAAAAGGGTATATTAGGTTTGTGCAAAGTATGTAATATGCAGAAGGAAGCATCTCCGACCCCATAAAGTATATATATTCTGAATCAACATGACGAAAGAAATCGATCTAGACATGTCTGTCCGTCTGGATGAACGCAAGGATCTCAGAAACTATAAAAGCTAGAATAACCAAAGTTGGCATCCAGATGCTCCTAGGTCCGAGAAAGGACGAGTTTATTTTATTTTTTGGAATTTTCCCCCCCTTCTCCCGCTACAGAATCTATTTGTCAATAGCGTCCACATTTCAAATGCTACCTAAACCAAACTTTGCACACATAATTTATATATAATTGTCTACTGTAACAAGTTCGCTCTGCTTCTTCCTCTTTTTGCTGCTGCTATGGGCGCATATAACTCAGTGACGGAAGTTTCCCTGGGTACAGGGTATTACACTGTCGGGCTTGCTCGACTGTAGCGTTCTCTCTTGTTTTTATTTTGACATTTTGTGAGTGCTTTGTGTGCTTTGCTTTCGCCACTAAGTTTCTTGCCATGTCATATTGTTCTTCATATTGATTTAATTAACACGAAACACTTGCTCGCGCACTTACAAATTAAATACATAAAGAAGCGGACATGGGACAGTAGACAGTGAACAGTTTGCGCTATGCGACACCTGTTTGACCTGGTTTTGGGACTGTGCGCCATTTCGCTTCCAGCAGTTTTTTTTTTTGAGAGTTTTTGTAGCTGTCGTTCATGCTGCTGCGACAACAAGCTAGTTAGCTTTATATAGTAGTCATTGTGACGGCATTACCAATCACATTGAAATTGGAGCAAATTGCATTTGTCCTGGCCAACCAAAGGATCTAGAGATGGCAACGGCAGATAACAAGATTGTCATCAAAGTAT